GAGCTCTTTACATTACATCACAAAATACGGCCAGAAACACAGCAGCACAGAGGTTATTCTTGCCTAGAAAACAGCAAAAACGAGGTCAACATTTTCCACAAAAATCCCTAGTAATTATAGCCAAAAATATAGATAACACCCAACTTTGTAGACCTCCACCCAATAACAACTAGTCCCTCGTCAGTATCAAGGCTGCCCTCTCATCATCACTGTCCAAAGCGCTGTAAAGAGCCTTTGTTGCCGAGACGGGTTTCCCACCACGCACCCAATGGATACAACTCTAGATTGCTCTTTACCAGGTCTCTCTTACCTCCACGCCAGTAGAGTTCCCACTACCTCTCGTCGCACTCTCACTGTTTCTCGAGGCACTGCTACTGGTAGTCCCGTGAGTTTCGCCCTAAACCACTTCCACTCCATGACCCTGCTGTCTTGGTTGCACCTTCTGTGCTACCTCAAAGAGAACCCCATTTCTATAGAGTAACCTTAAGTCTATGAATCTAACCAACGAGGACAGCTCAATACAACACCTAAAAAAAAAAAAAAACTCAAACAAATGCATCTACCAACAACCATGCCCGGGTGCGGACCCTGAAACTATTGTACCCCGCTGTATCCTTGGTGTTGGCGACAGCACTCCCACYGCCCATACTKGCTCTGCCACCGCTAGCATAGACGCTACTGCCATCCTTCACATCCGCCGCGTCGGAGACTCGCGCCTGCCACTGCARGAACGAGCAAAGATCTTCTTCCAAACTTGGTCTTCGTCAACCAGACTACATGCCAATTCTTCGTCATTTTCTGCGGTAAAAGTTCCATTACTTAAGTAAAGTGGAAGGTGGAAGCCAGAGGAGACCGAGTGGGGCCCATACCCTGATTGCAAGGCACTCCCCCTCCAATCAAGGAGCAGGTTAGGGTATGGACAACCGAGGATATGGCGCCGCCATACCTCCCTCCAATTGGGGCGTTCATCTTTCCACAATTCGTGGCCACAGGACTCGATGAACCCACTTCATCGTCAAGCGTCGGCCGGACCCCGGGGCGCTAGGGCTGTGCTACATTCAATCTCGAATTAGCGCAAACTTAGCGCACCGAAGCGCTACCGGGCGCCTGCCGACCTCCTCTCGAGCAGTCTTTTTCCTTTTTGTCCTTTGGCAGAAGGGCGTCGCTGGGAACTTGGGAATGCACCTGCTCCAGAAGGCAACCAAGGGCGTCGCCGCACTGCACACGAAACGAAAAACGAAACGAGTGCATCTTCCTGCAGAAAATGGCCAGGTTCGTGGGTTTGCTGTAAATAGTAACGAGTGTACTTTTCCACCTTTCATGGGCAGATGCACTCTTTTCGTTTTTGTTTCGTGTGCGCCCCAAATAAGTTGAACTGATACCACGCGGGAAAAAAATAAAAATAAAAAAAATTGATACCACGTGGGAGGGTGGGCGATAGGCCTTCTACAGCCTCCCCCACTAGCAATAGCAAAGAGGGTTGGATAAATATCCTGAATCTGGACGTGTTTTACGCAGAGATGCGGAAACGCAGTTCAATCTCGACATTCTGCACGTTTCCGAAAACAAAGCCAGATTCAGGTGTTTGAATCCAATCCTCTTTGCTAGTGGGACCTCGCCACCGCCAAAATTGCATGCTCCACGGCTGTTTTTTTTTTTTTTTATATTGAACCCACGACGTGGTGAATGCAACTTCTGTGCTTTAGACGGAGCGGCCGGCGCGGGCGAGTAGCGTAGCGCTCCGCACCGGTCCGTCGCCGTCGCGGCAGACGGCGCTGCCTAGCCACGGACTCCGCCGGCACGACGGAGAGTGGCGTGCCCGATTCGCCTGCCCCTTCACCAGGGATGTTTTCGGCGATGGTGGCACAGGCAGTCCTGTAGTGTAGGATAGGGTAGGGGATGGCCCGAGAGGCTTCAGGCATAATCAAAGTTGGATTACACGAGGTTCAGCTGCTCTGTGGTAGCTAGCCCGTCTAAGGGATTGGGAACTTTGGCTTGGCCGGAGTCGAAGTCTCAGGAAGCCCTTCCAAGCGTAGCCTTGAATTCGCAGGGACATAGCTTCCTGTCTGTCCCTCTATGTGCTTTCCTCCAGAAGGAGTGCGTTCGGTCCCGTAGTTGTGCCCTTAAGCGAAGGTGATGGCTAATCAAACGTCGAATGGGAGGTACATCCCCCCAACTCCATCGGCGACTACGAGGGCCAATGATAGGCTTAGAGAAGCTGTGGGCAGATGCTACGCTCAGGGCGAATGTCCTGATGACGCCTCGCTGGGGGAAGTGATAGAGGACGCTGAGGGAAAACGTTTTGTGGTGGATGGGCGTGTTAATGCCGTCAAAGAAGAGTGGCTCAAAGATCATACAGTCATCATCACTTTCCTTGGAGAGGCGAGGAATCTCTCAAGACAAATCAAGGAAGACCTAATCAGGGCTTACGAAGATGGGTGGTTCGCGAAGAAATTGTTCGGTGCATCGGCGGAGCGAGGGAGAGTCAAATTTGAAGGAGCCAACGTTGCGTCTTATGTAGCTAGGTCGGAGCAAATTGCAACCTGGCTGCTCCAACAGAGAGAATTGAAGATTAAACTTCAGGAGACTGAGGAGTACGTCGTCTCGTTCAAACCTTGGCTCCCTCTACAGGAGCTCAAGGAAATGAAGCTACAGGAGGCCGAGTTGAAGTTTTGGATCATTGCCTTGAGAGTGCCCTTAGATGCTTACTTCTACTTGAGAAGTGCAGTCCAAGGCGTGTTCGGTGAAGTAATAGAAATGCATCCGCCTGAGTACGATAGATCCAGACCCCGACTGATGAACGTCAAGTTAGAGATGTCTCCAAAAGTCAGAGGAAAAATTGATGATGTGTTAATTATCGAGTCTCCAGCAGGGGAGAAATGGAGGGTCGAGATTGCGTCTCCATACACTAATTGGTGTAGGCGCTGTAGGTGGTATTTCCACACGGAAGCAAATTGTCTCAGAACACGGCAAGGCGAAGAGAAGGGCGCGAATGCAGCTGTCAGATCCGGGGGACACAAAGTGAGATTTTTTCGACATCAACAAAGGCAGGAACAACAGGTCAGGAACCACTCGGCTAGCAGGTCTGTCAGAGGAGAGGCGGTGGAAGCGCAGCAGGACGTAGCAGGTACTGGCGGAGCCGCTACCGGCAGTCAGGCCCAGGGCCAGAGGTGGGCCGATCAGGAGGAACCGAGGGCGAGACACACGGGCTACAGTCAAGAGGTCAGAGGCGTCAGTTTGCAGAGGCATAGTAACCAGGGAGGACTCTCTTCGCAAAATTAAAGCCAGCCCCCCCCAAGCGGTGGCCAAATAGGGAGGGGTACGATTGCTGAGGATGTGCAGAGGGGGTGGCCTCGTCCCTTCCTGGGCGGGTCAGTGGGTGAAATGGATGCAGCGCACCTGCCGTGGAGCGGAGGAATAGAGGGGAGTAATCCGGCGGAGCATATGGTCGACTCATCTTTTCTACCTCCTTGGCGGAGTGAGGTAGATGGGCAGGGCGGGTTTTATTACAATTCCCCAATGGATAATCACTCTCCTTGGCAGGACCCCGTGTGGGGAGCGGGCCCGTATGAAGCCCGTCATTATCACCAAATGGAGCAGACCACCCAAGCGTCGAGCCAGGCGCGTCCGCCATTCTGCCCGCGTCCAAGGTACCCGCCAAGAGCGTGCAATTGGGATGACTCAGTGCAAAGTAGAGAGCCCCTCGCAGCTACGCCCGGCCCGCCACGGAGACCAACAGGGCTTGGGCCGTCCCAATTGGGCCGGTGGCAATCGAACAGCGAGTGGAGAGACCAGGGGAGAGGTTATGGTAGTGGGTGCAGGGACCACTGGAGGGACCAAGGAAGAAGAGGTGACGAAGGCTGGAGGGATCACGATCGATCCCGACAGAGAGCGGACTGGTTTTCGGAAAGAAGGGATGGGCTTCAAGTGGCAGATTGGGCAACGTCGGGCACGAATAGTGATAACCATGGAGGACGGTGCAATGAACCGGAACAAACAGCGGAACGGCCTGCCCCACACGGTGAACTGTCGAAGACCTCGAATTCGTCCAACTCGAGAGTTAGATGGGGGAGTGAATGGTACGAGGGGGAGAAGCGCTCTCAGCGCTCAGAGGGGGAATGCTCTTCGATGCTCAGTTCGGCGGCGTCCAAGTCACCTAGGAAGGGAGAGGCTTTGAGAGGTGAGGTAGCGAGTTCGTTTCAGGATAGAAGGGCCGATACTGTGGATAGGAGCCAAGCCGAGAAAGTTCAAAGGAGACTTGTCCCAATTCTGTGCACTATGGCAAATGACGGGGTGTATTTCTTAGCGTTGGCTCAAGCTGACGGGGCGCCCACGTTGCCCTCTGTAGATGTGGATCACTCCCCTACGCCATCCGAGATCGCTGAGTTCACTAGGTCCTTGTATGGTCAGCACGTTCCAATACGTCTGATCCCGCGCTCCACAATGGTGAGTTTGATTGTGGAATCAGGAGGGAGATTCTACAAACTCTACTTTCCTCTGCTTGACGCTAGAATTCCTTCGGAATTGGCAACCCCCCTGACGCAAGCAGGGGTGAGATGGATTCATATGTTTAGATTATCGGATAGGTTCACAGAGGAGCTAGAGCTCATCAAGATTCTACCTGATATCTCGACTCTTATCCTTCGAAACGTCAACAAGAAACTGCAGAAGGACGAAGACTTGCTGTCCCCCTTCCTTGCGAAAGCACTCACCGCAGACTGGCAGGTGCTGTCGGAATCGAACTCTTCACGGGGCAGTTCACGAGACAGGTCCAGATCTTCTCGCAGGTCAAGAGGCACAAGAGCTTCCGAGGCGGAGGGCGATTCACCCCTTCCCCTGGAGGTAGTTCAGTCACACTCTCGTATCCAAGATCAGACGGGAACAGTTGGTTTGGATGGACAAGCTTAAATTGGGTTCTTGGAACATCAGAGGGCTTGGAGACACTAACGGAAGGAACAAGAAGAGAGGTATCAAGTCATGGGCCCACGAGTGGAACAGGAACGTCATCATGCTTCAGGAAACTAAACTTAACGAGGAGAAGATTAAGTGTTTAGGCCAGTGGTGGGAGGGGCCTCAAATCTGGTCCCCTGCACAAGATACGAGAGGTGGAGTGTGCATCTTGATCCACAGGGATCTACACATGAGAGTGATTGATAAGGAAGCAGATATTTGGGGCCGTTGGGCGTGGATGAGAGTGGAAATAGGCACAGATGAATGGCTGTTAGTGACGGTGTACGCTTCCATGAAAGTAAGTGAAAGGGCGTCCTTTTTTAGGAGCCTAATTTCCAACATCCCCAAAGTAGAGAAGATTGCCTTAGCCGGGGACTGGAACAGATCGCTCGATGATGCACTCCGCCCGGACTCGAGGTCTGCAGGAGCGAAGGACGTGAAAGTCTTGCTGCAACTGGTTGAGACCCTCTCTCTCACTGACCCTTTCCGAATTTTGAACCCGGACGATCCTGGTTACACATGGTTCTCTCATCTCCATCACAACAGACAACAAGTCACTAGACTTCGGCTTGACTACTTGCTTGTTTCTGACCAGTTGTTGCCCAGAGTTGTTGTTTCGAGACATGCGGCCAGTCCTCTTTCGGACCATAAACCAGTCACCGCAGAGATCAGACTGTTGGAGGGCAGCGACAGAGGAAGGGGTTTCTTCAGACTCAACAAGCAAGTCTTGGAGAATGCTGGTGTACGGGAGTGGGTAGGAGATCACATGGAGGGGTGGGAATCCACCCGGGCCTTTTTCAATGATCCAGCTGATTGGTTGGATAGCGGATTGGCCATTGTTTCCGGCGTTCTGGATGTGTGCTCTAGGATCCTTGCTAAAGGGAGGAATGCAAAGGAGGCGGAATGCAGAAGAAAGGTAGAGGAGGCCGAGGAAAGGATGGAGGGCCACCCCATATCAGCCATGGTATGGGCAGCAGAGAGAGAAAAGAGAATGGAGGATTGGGACAAGATCCAACAGGACAAACAGAGGAGATGGGCGGAGACGCTTATGGAGAAAGGGATTGAAAACCATGATCTGATGACGAAGGAGACATCTCAGAAGCTGTTGCCGAGACGAACAACCCACCAAACGGTAGAACTTCGGCATCCGTTCGACAGTAACGCACCAAACGCAGCAATGGCTTCCGGGATGATGCACTACGCCAAACTATACTATGAGGACATCCTTACCTCGAGACGGCCGCAGGAAGACCCGACCACGGACCTTTCAACTGAATCGGACATGTGGGAAGACACAAACGTGAGGCTGTCAGACACAGCTAGATTGGATCTAGATCGACCAGTGTCGCTAGAAGAACTATCCCAAACAGTCAAATCGATGGCCAAGGGGAAATCCCCGGGCATTGATGGACTAACTGTGGAATTTTATAGTGCGTCATGGGACTCATTGGACCCAAGGCTGGTGGATAAGACGGGTATGATTGGAAGGGGGCAGATTGGGGAAGGGTATGACGCTAGGAGTGATTAGTATGCTGTTTAAAAAGGGGGATAAGACGGAGGTCAGAAACTGGAGGCCGATATCACTCCTCAACGTGTCCTATAAAATTCTGGCTAAAACGCTGGCGCGTAGACTAGGGTCTCACCTTCCTGGTCTGGTGGAGGGGGATCAAGGGGCTTTCGTACAAGGGCGGTCTATCTTCAATAACATAGTGACAACACTGGAGGTGTTGGAGTGGGTTCAGTCGGAAGACATGAATACGGCTGTGCTTCTCTTAGATCTGGAGAAAGCCTACGATAAAGTAGGCTGGCCTTTCGTGTTTACGACTCTAAGTAGAATGGGTTTTGGAGCGCCGTTCTGCAAATGGTTGGTGGCAATGTACACTGTGTCTGCATCGGTCGTCATGATAAATGGGCACTTGTCCGCTCCGTTTGAGCTCTCTCGGTCCCTGAGACAGGGCTGCCCGTTGGCCCTGCTGCTATTTGTGCTGCAAATGGAGGTGTTGCTGAACAAGATTCGCAGAAATAGGCTTATTAAAGGCTTGACGCTGCACAGCGGTACACAGTGCAAGGTCAAGGCACTGGCGGATGACCTGTTCGTCATAAGTGAAAACACGAACGAATCTCTCAGCGCGCTGAAGGACACGCTTAGTCAGTATTCGGTGCTGTCGGAGGCTTCCGTGAACTGGGACAAGTCAGTCTTCCTTCTCCCGTCGCAGTATGCTCTAGAAGTGCAGTGGGGAATGAAGAGGATCAGGGAAGGGGAGGAAGAGAGGTTCTTGGGAGTGCTGGTGAGTATCCAAACAGGCGCGTCGTCCCAAGGCCTCCTGCTGAAGCAAAGAGTGTCAACAAGACTGCGCCTGTGGGGTTCAATCTGGCACCTATCCGTCATTGGGAGGGCTCTGGTAGCCAACGTGGCGTTGTTCTCCATCATGTGGTTCGTCAGCACAGTGAGGGAAATCTCGGACACTGTGTGGAGGGTGATCAAGCGGTCGGTGGCTCGCTTCATCTGGAAACCGAATGCGAAGGAAGGGGAGGGTTTCCTAATCAAGGTGGCTTGGGAGTTGCTCACCTAACCGCGCAGCGAAGGTGGACTCAATCTAGTGGACCCTACGAAGAAAAACCAGGCACAATTGAGGATGTGGCTAATCAGGGTGGCCAATGCTCCGGTGAAGGAGCACTGGATCGAACTTGCGGAACAGCTGCTGATGAAGGAGTGGGACCTGCTCCGCCCACGAGATGTCTGGCGCTGCCTGTTCATCCCGCCGTTCCGGAAGAAGAGAATCAGGTCACGGTTCTGGAAAGAAGTCCTGAACGCCTGGTGTAGCCTGCCGCCGGATTCGGTCTCTCAACCTCGCACCAAGGAAGAAGTGCAGGGCAAACTGCTGTTTGAGAATCCCAAGATTGTGGATGAGAACGGTAATCAGTTCATGGCAAACGGCTCGGTGGGTTCTTTTGGACTGGCTTGGATCAGAAACGGCATAGCGACGATCAGTGACCTCTGGGACCCGTTGTTGGGTTCGTGGAAACCTCTGGCAGAACTGCAAGCGGTGCTCAAACCTCTAAGAAACATCGAAGCTCACCTGGAGCAACTCGTTTCTGCCATCCCTGAGGACTGGTGCACGCTGTTGGGACCAGAAGGAATCGACCCGGTTGGCACCTGGTACTGTGCTGAGGAGGAGGAAGCAGGAGTAGTGTGGAAACTACTGGAAATCATGCCTAGTGGATTCAGGAAGGTGCAGAGGTGGAAGTGTCTGGATTACTCAAACGTGTTGTCGCCTGCCAATGAGCTGCAGATTAGCACCTGGAAACCCCCCCCACAGGCGAGGTTAATCGGTCAAGGAGGTACGCCCGATGCAAGGAAGAGTTGGGTGTGGATTGGGCGCACCCCTTTAAAGCGTCTGTGCATAGATCCGGGTGCCTGGAGCTGGTCAACCAATGACGGGCGTCATCCCCAACTGCCTTTAGCCGAATATTCGGTGTCTAAAGGTTACAGCTTGAGGCTGTCTGCAAGAAGAACAAGATCCCCAGCTCAGGTGGCGGTCAGCAGATGGCAGGCAGTGATCTCGGTAGACTTGTCTGGAGCTGGGCCCCGGTTTCTGGCCCTGTGGGATTCCTTAATTCCCCTCCCGAATGGGAAGCAAGCCTCTATCTTGTGGCAACTGTCACTGTTGGTGACTCCCTCGGCAGTCTGGCTGATAGGCAGAGGAATGCAGGTGGATCTCAAGTGCCCTCGCTGCAGCTGGCCCTTTGAATCGACGCGCCACCTCTGGTGGGAATGCCCGGCTTCGCAGAGAATATGGAAGTGGTGGAAACACCATTGGGAACACTTTGGTGAGCCTGTGGCCGAGTGGAACGAGGAATGGGTCCTACTTGGCTTCACTCCGGAGGGGGTGCTCAGGAGCAGAGTTACATTGCGCAAGTGGTTAGGGGATTGCTCTGCGAAATCATTTGGAGGGACAGGAACAGAGCAAGATTTGAGAGAAGACCCTTCTCCGATCTGGAAATCAATAAGACAGGGGTTAAGAGAGGCAATAAAAGTGGATTGGAGGAAGAAGGCGAAGGGAGGTAAAGGTGGCAGAAGACAACTGAGATGGTTCCTGGACACATGGGCGCACAAACATAAGCTTGCTGGTGTCCACAGGGTGAAAGGCCTGGTACTTTCCCCTTGGGTTAGGGAGTAAACATAAGAGCTGAGGGTCAGTTAGAGAGGTGGACAATTGCGGTCCAGGTTTGTAGGGAGGGCGTGGCGTGAGGGTGCGCACCTCATGGGACCAGGACACTCGGTCCCTATTAGGGCCGCTGTGGGCCACCAGGAGAGTGTCAGTAGGACCGGGACTCCAGTCCTCTGGGACGTGCTAGTCCCAGATTAGCTTAACATAGGCCTACCACTGAGTTGTTTATGTCATGGGATTGGGAGAGGATTTATTGTGGAGTTGTTGCCTGCGGTTCTAGGACTTGCTTTGTGAGCTGTTGCAGTTATCAAGTCTCAAAATTCAGGTCGGAGTCAGTCGCTGAATTGGTTCTATCTGTTAGTGTCGTCTTAGTTACTGGACTAAGTTTTATGGCAGTCGAAGGTAGGTTTCTGGAAAGTTGGTAGTATGAACTTTCCGCAGGCGCATGCCTGTAAGCTAAGCTGGCTGATGCTGTCAGTACCACGGGTGGAATTGTGGGGTCCCCGGCCTCGTATCCTCTTGATTTCAATATGAAAGTTTGACTGTTTCTATTAAAAAAAAACTTCTGTGCCCTACCAACTGAGCTAGGCCCGCTGCAAAGCAACCAACAACATCAGCCAACGTCTTGCCAACGCTGGTTTGGGGGGCCAACGGTTTTATTTTTTTATTTTTATTTTTTTTTAACCTTCTCTCCCAGGAGTCTATCCTCATGCGGGCATCATCCCCTCAAAAGAAATTCAAATAACTGATCCGGATGAGAAAAAACTAG